GACGCATTCTAAAACTTCGCCTCCAGGTGCCATGAGGACCCTGGCAATGAGGCACAAGGAGGAACTCGACAAGTACACGAACATAGATACGGCAAGCATGTTTAAACTGAAGTATCTCTATGAGTTTGACAGAGCCTACCAGTGCCCTACATGGGGATATCCAACAGAGGAGGCTTATTACAGAGACGCGTCAAGTTCGGATTCGCTACTGGCCGTGCGCACCCCGCTTCTGGCTATCAACGCCGTAGACGACCCTATTGCCTCGTACCTAAGCCTTCCGTACGCCGAGGCCTCGACGAATCCATACACCGTGCTCTGTACCACGTCACTTGGCGGCCATCTAGGCTGGTTTGAGATTGGAGGTGGGCGATGGCACGTGAAGCCTGTAAGACAATCCAATTCTCAGATATGAAACAAAACCCCTACTAAAAATGTCGACAGATTTGCAACTTCCTCAACCACATGGCGTTTGATGTGGAACTCGACAGCATAGACCACGAGGTCAACGGCAAGCGGGATTATGGGAATCCCGAGTCGGGAACTCACTATGACCCCTTGCGACGTAAGATGCATGTAAATCTAAACAAATGAGACGGTCGTAGACTTAGAGCATGTGGCTATATGCCGTGAGCGGGTTCGGGTTATATAGAGGATCATATCCGGGTATCTACCTACATATAGAAGGGAATTGGCATATCTAGAGGATGCAATTGTACATGCTAGATTTAACAGAGTTTGTCAACAGAATAGAATCACCTCAAGTACTCTCCCTGCCGCTACCCAGGCTCAGTTTTATACGCCAGTTGATAAATTCATCAGTGAGTATGCTTCCGTGCCCGACTTCTTCGACCTTGAACACTTCGATGGATCCAGATCGGGGTAGTCTCCGTATCCTCCAGACCCCTTCGTCGTCAATGGTATTTCTCAGCCCTGGAATGAAATCAGCAGCCGTCAAGCATCGGAGGAGCCTTAGCTCTGTCTTACAGTCTAGGAAGCCGCTGGCAAAGTTGATACACATGTTCGCGTTCCAGCTCCTGACGCCCCTTTTAGAGGCTGTCTCGGGGATCTTGGCAGTCTGGATTTCTTCAAGCTTTGTGAGGATACCCTGCTGCGAGCGGAAGCCGACGATGATTCTTGGCACGCCAAGTAGGAAGCTCTGAATCCAGAACTTCATGAGTTTGCGCTCGAAGTTTTGCATAGTCCTGTCGTCGCGAATTTCGACGCTGGTCTTGAGCTCGATCCAATTTATTGGCGCACCTTTCTGCGCAGGCTTGGAATCCCAGACTTGAAAAAAAAAATCCAATGTGAGTAATGCACACCTGAGACAGCTACCTAGATGTGAACTTACTGGCGTCGACCTCGCCCCCTAGACACAATGTTGTTTTACCGATCCCGGTACGAACTACGGAACAGTATTGAGCTTTGTTGCTGACAATTTCTTTGTCCCTATTCTCGATGAAGTCCCTAGTGATCTCACCCCAAGGACGTGGAAGACAGCATAATGTCTCGAACTTGTAGCCTATGGCATGTAAGCTGCTGTGAACTGTGAGTCAGAAGCCCTAGCTTACCCCAATATGTCATGACATCCGGCGGGAACTGGCCCCTTCGCGATTGTTGTTGGCGTTGCTGTTGCTGTTGCTCTTGTTGTGAGGCCTGCTTATAAGCATGATTCTCTTCGATGAAACTTGGTCATCCTTAGATTAATGTAAACATGCCAGTCAAGCAGGTTCTGAACGTACATGCAATCCTTTGGCAAGCAGTCAGCTAACATGGTGTCATTAAGGAGAACTTGAATTGCGCACTTGGTACAGAGTAGCATTCATTTCGAAGCTGTATAGATGTCCGATTAGATTTTCATCGGTAGTGGACATAAGTGGCATGCCTACGTACCCATCTCGGTCTTCGAATGGGGCTGCCATGATCTGTACAATTTAGATACAGGTTAGATTTTTTGGAAGTACATTTACTATCATACCTTGGTCATCATGCCCCTCCAAGTGACAACTTGAGCGTCAACCTTCTTTCCTTCCTCTTCTTCATGAGCTATGATTGTCTTAAGAAGACTATCTATGTGCTCATCTTTCGAGTCATCGTGTTTGACGAATTGGTCGAATCCTTTAGATAGGTCTGCCCCAAGTTCAGGAGGATAATACCACTGCATAGAGCGATCGTCCAGGTGAAACTCATGTTTATCATCATATGAAAAGCAGGCTATTTCCTAGCAAACGAAATGGTTAGTAACAAGTTCTAATGCCCCCTAAATATAGCATGTTGGACTAGAGTATTGTTGGAAGGGTTGTTTTAGCTGTGACTTAATAGGTAGCATCTATACCTTGGGCCTTTTGACGGGTTCACATTCGCCATCAAACCGGCCAACGGGCTGAATTTCAAATGCAGTCGACATAGTAGATAAGACTGCAGTCTGGCGTTGAAAACTGCTTGTAAGGTAAGGAAGTACTGGACGTCGATAGAATAAAACCACGTTCCTCATGAAAGCTGCCGTACCTACATGCCTCCATGAGTCCATGCATGTAGGGAGCTCTCCATTGACCTACCTCGAACTGCTCGAGCAGCTCGAGAAAGAGACCCCTACCTTAGGTCGCCACTTAAATAAGACAGGGTTACCCCACAGTGAGAACAGCACCTGGGCGGCGGGAGGCCCTTATCCCCGCTCTATCACTATTAGCTGCTACATACATGTACCTACAATATTCCAACCTTCAACAAACATCTTCAGCATAACCACTTGAAGCTATACTTAGGCACCTATATAATTCATCACTTCATCCTGCCCAATCGCAGCCAAAGTGGTATTAATGGCCGACCGACCGCCCCCACACGCGCGTCCCGGCCCTAACAGAGGTGCGCGAACGAACACGACCGGAGTACGGCGCAACCTCTTCCAAGGCCAGCTCACGCGACGGCCAACCCCCACCACGTCCTCCTCCAACAACTCGGCTGAGACCCTACGCCTCGCCGACGTCGAAGTGCTGTCCGACACATCTGAGATCGTCATCCGCGACAAGAATGGCGAGTTCGATGTTGGCGATCCTCCTACACCCCCGCTAGATGACCCGGAAGAGGCCCGCGCGTTAGATGAAGCGCAGGAAAGCGAGCGTACGCATTTTCAACCTGTCTGACTTGCGAGGATCTTGAACGAGACTCCTCGTCTCTGGTATGAGGTGGCTAATGTTTTCTGTAGGCGAGAGACGGAAGCTTGCAGAGGCTGTCAAGCACCACCAGATAAACCACAACCGCACGCCGGCACAGCCTGAGGGTAGGATGAATACAAAACAATATAGGAGTTCACGCTAACACCAGATGAAGAGGTAATGGACGCGCTTCTAGCCAGCATGAGAGCTAAAGTAACGGCGCTAGCCGAAGATAATTGGATGTACGAGCCAGAAGAACAGCTACGGATGCAATAATATTCATCATGAAGGGTTATGATCATTAGGGTTGTCTAGAAGATGACAGTGCTATGCTGCTGCAGAACTTGGAACGACAACGCAAAACCGACCCGTCAATCCAAACCCTCAGCAGCAGGCATCGATGTGGGAGCCTTGACGGGCGGTCTCCTTGCCCCTCCACTTGCCGAACCACCGCCGCCGCCGCCGCCGAGGAAACCACTCATCATATCCATCAGAGGGTTGCTCTGCCGGGGTTTCTGGATCCCGAAGTACATCTCGGCTATCATCTCCAAGGACTCATGCCATGCCTCGACTTCCTCAATAAGAGTAGCATACTTGTTGTTCAGTTGCTTGTACAGGTCCGGACTGGCTCTCTGGATGGCGAGTAGGAGGAGGCCTAAGAAGTTGAGGAGAGGTATGCTGGGATAGACTCGTATATCGGCGCTATTGCTGCTGACATCCTGAACGCCTAGCTGGCCTTGCTTGTCTTGGTTCAAAGCGCTGGTAAATATTCGGTAGCAGGTGTTGGCGGCTCGGACGTTGCCAGTAAGGAGGTATGGTAGGATGCCCCGAGCAGCGTATAATGCGGCAGTGTGCGCGTCGTCTTCCTTGAACCACTCATATTCTAAGTGAGCCAGGATCTCGGCCGAGTCCTTGGTACCTAGAAGTAGATGTCTTTCGGCGTCATAGGGCTCGTTTTCTTCGGCATACAGGGAACCTGCGACATGATGGAGCTCGGGGTCACCAGCGGGGTATTCGCCGAATTTGGCGGACCATCTACGTAAACATGTTAGTTAGTAGCTGGGTAGCTTCACGCAAGTCCGGGGAAGCAAAGTGGGACATACGCTATCATCTCTCCAATATACTTCTTGCGAGTAGGCTCTTCGCTGCCGAACAAGCGCAGACACGTGAGTAACTTGCCCTTGGTAGCGGAATCAGGCTTCAGCTCCGCCTGTTTGTAGGTGTCGACCAGTAGTACGCAGAGATCTCCACCACTACCGCCTTGACCTGCTTTCAGAAGGGACTGGGCGACATTGTATATGATGTCGATCGCTGCACTCCAGTTTGCGGCTTTCGTGTACCGCGCCGCGACCACTCGGGTCTGCTGCTGAGCTTCGTAGAACTGCCCCTCACTGATTCGCTGTTGGAGGCGAGCGATGATTTTCTCGATCTTGTCGCCCTTCGCACTCATTTTCTCAGGAGTTTCTTTTCGGAAAATAGGAACGGAGTTTAAGCATATGGACGGTATGTGTGAAAAGGGTCAAAGGGACGAAAGGTTGTAACGTTTTAATTGTCGGAGCTGTCACTGTAGGCTTAAGTAACTGAAATGGAAGACATCAGAACTGACAAGTCCACTGAGAGGGGTGGTCCAAGCTCCTTGGATTTTACCACTACGATCCACAAGCAGATGGGTTTTCAAACAATTGATTCATCTGAGCATTTAGGAGTAATCGATATCATATTCTATCTAGAATAATACTACCTAATAACTCGAAATGTGACATAAGGGAAAAAAATAGAATTCTAGCAAACTGCACTTTCAAGTCGAGTCTGAGGGAAACAAAAACGACAAAAATCAATAAGCATTAATGCATTAACCGTGAATCGAACACGGGGCCAGAGTAAGCAATCTCATTGACATGGGAAACTCCGAGGTTACCACTACCCCATTAATGCTTGAGAGGACGAGCGATTTTTTCAACTATATAGGATATAGGCTAGCTCCTTTTTACATTCCCGAACCTTTTCCTTTCCTTGTCTGAGTAATACACTTCGCATATTCGCGCCCGTATCGTATCTCGAGCCTCGAAGACCTCGGGAGCGCGCACCCATTCTATGTTGGGTATAGACAGAAAAATGCCAAGATACAGATATAGACTGGCAGCGCTATTCAATTCGATAGCCAACGCTATCAAGGATTCCTCTCATGGCTAGATGGTATTTCTTTGGGGCGAAAAGAAGACTGGAAGCATATACGCCGTATTCCTCCGTATCTTCACTGCCAAGTTCGGCAAGCCTGTTTCATCGTGACTCAACTACATCCGACTCTCAGTGATTGATTTGGTTAGGTATATATACGTTGTTTCCAGCTGTTTAGAATATCACAATTCTAAATCAGAGTTGAGTGTTTTCATTTCGTTTCCTTCGGCTTGCCCACATTCTCCAAAATGCTGGCTACCCGCCTTGCGTTGCCATTTCGTCACGGCGCTACCGCTGTTGGTCGTGGGCGGCTCGTCTCTTCATACTCGTATAGCTTCAACTCGCATACCCATCTGATAAGACCATCAACTCGAGCCTATGCTATGATGTTCTCAACTACTCGTTCAGTACTCGAGTCCAAACAACCTCCCAAGCAGGACCCTTCGAAAAACCCCGATATTCCGGGGTTCAGCTTTGAAGGCCTAGGCATGAGCCGGAATGCCAAAATCGCCGTCATCGTGATCCTGAGCATATACGGCACCATGGAGTCTCTTTTCTACATCAGATGGATCTGGCGTTGGTTCGAAGGGTCCAAGGATGGCGGGTCGGAGAGCAAGACATAAGCTTAACTCTGCTTTCTGACTTACTTGGCCCCATCATTCCCTCCACTCTACCGTTCATATATATTGTATTATACCAGCATCCAAGAAGAGTTAAAACCGCCGGCTCATCCAAGAATTCATGAATCCTCAACGTCGCCTTCCAGAAGATGTGCTTGGCTGGGTCGAATTTCTTACGCGTCAAAATGACAGGGCTAGCCAATGGAATGCAGAGCGGCACGGCGTCTTGGGCTTTTTGGGGAAGTGCTCCTGGTACATAAGCATTTTGCTGCAATGCGGCTGTTATCCTGGCCTAACCCGGCCGGTGGACCACTCTCGCGAGTCGCGATGCCCCTCTTATATCATTATTATGTACATCTTCTAAGCATGGAGAAGTTGGACGAGCATGCACCGACCTCGTCAGCTTTATCGCGCGTCTGGGGAAATTACTACCGCAGATTTAATTGAGCCCAACTCCGGCGCCGGTTGTTGTCATGTTCAGCCGTAACACCACTGAAGAACTGCTTTGCGCCACCCGGAGCCCTACTGAGCCTTAATAGGCTCTATGAAATTAGCTATGGAGAAGCTTAACGTACTAGTGTCACACGTAGACGCGAGGGCAGTAGGTAGACGAGCTGCCTCCCGAGTCCCGAGTCCCGAGTCCCAACAGAGCGCTGCATCTTCGATCTTGTATGATCAAGTAGTGTACTACTTCGCAGAATCTACCCCGAGCAAGCGGTCAAGTCAATCATCGATACTGGATAATAGAGGGTGACACCCCGGTGGCGATCATTCCCGCTTCTCCAAAGGATATACGTGTGCACCGCCACTTGTTCCTCGAGAGTCGAGACCCTGATTGTTCCTTGTCAGTCTGAATTCGGGGTCGACATCGTTCTTAATTGGCCTATCGCCAGCATCATCCTTGTCGCCTCTGCCTTGTTTTCGGATGTGCTACCAAGGGTTTTAGCCACATGAGGTCAAGCCACCCAGGTCCCTTAAAACGAAAGTATAATTAAAACAAGTCCTCCTCTCGGGCGCGCTGGAGCGGGCATGAATATGATGTGAAAAGGTAATTTCGTTTTTCCTTTCTGTGAATTGTTGATGTCTCTCTCGCTACTTCTCGTTTGATCCCTCGTTTTCTCACTTGTGTTGTCCTTCTTTGTCGTGTGATACCCGTTGCTGTTGGATGGTAACATTGTATGTACTTGGAAAAATGGCTACTGCTGAGGTTGAAGAGGCTGCTCCCGCTAGCGGTGCTGAGGAGGTCAAACCATACACAATACACGTAAGCCACATTCTCGTCCTTTTGAGCTGAGTTGTGTGTGGCTTACGCGCGGATCCTAAACATCAGGTCTCATCGAAATATCTCGAGCTCACGAAACAGAAACTCGAAGTCACAAGGTTACCTCATGAACTTTCAGAACCAAAATCGAAGGATTGGTGGGAGCCAAAGTCCCGAGTAGAGCCACTCATCGACTTCTGGTAAGACTTTGCGATCATATTATATATTCCTCGTCCTCGTCTATGACTGTTACCTCTTATAACCAGTGTCAGCACGGCTAAACATCAAACAGGCTCGAACAATATTCGTGGCGGGCACAAGAGGAACTGCTGAACTCAGGGTTACCTCAGTTCCGCACTGGCTTCGCAATACCCTCTTCTGAAGCAATAGTCAGGATTCACTTCATTCACGCTCGCTCATCTCATTCAAATGCGATACCCCTTCTCTTGATACCACCTTTTCCTTTCACAAATCTTTCTTTTGGACACCTCATCAAGCTGTTTACCGAACCAGAGGATGCTGCGAATAATCAACCCTTCCACCTGGTCATACCGTCTCTGCCGGGCCTGGGGTTTAGCGACTCGCTCCCGAATAATACCTCCGTTATTTCATCCACAGCAGATATTCTAAATTCATTAATGACCCGCCTTGAGTATCAGTATTATCTGACGACGAATGCCAGTTCCGGAGCTGCTTCGCCTGCGGAAATTGACTACAAGATTGTCAATCATCTAGCAACTTATCATCAGGACCATTGTCTAGGCGCTCACTTTATCTCGCCGCCGCTGGCACAGCCTAAGCTCCAGGAAGCGCCAATAGAATGGGCAAAATGGTCCATTGCAAGTTTGCTCCAAGCTCCTATTCTCGGCTACCGCAGTGAGGATTTCTCAGCATTGCAACGGAGCGGCTATGCACTTTCGTTCAAGAAAGGCCCAACGCCTGCTCAGTTTGGACTAAACCAACTAGGCCTTCGAGAACCGAACACTCTGGCTTATGCATTGTGCGATTCCCCGACTGGCCTCTTGGTATTCGTGTTGAAGACACTTCGACTGCTCAGTCCAAAGAAAGATTTTACGCCGACGGAAATGGTTAATCTTACTCAATTGGCTTGGCTACCGGGTCCAGAGTCAGCAATGAGATACTGGGCATATTGCGTGCGACACCCGGAGGAACACAAGAAGACGACCGTAAGACCGAAAATCGGAATAACGGTGTTTCTAGGCGATGAGCCGAGTATCGATGGGGGTGCGGAGGCGGAAGCAGATCCAGAGGCAGGCGACATGGTAGAAGACGAGGCGAAGGACCGCTACACATGTCCCAGTTGGGCCAATGCGAAGTATAGCGTCGTCTATGCTAATCGCGCCACGGGATTGTCAGGACTCCTAGCATGGGAACGACCTGAAATCATCGCCACTGGTGTAAGAGGGGTTGCTGCTTCGATTTTGAAATGGGACTCCCGCTTGCAACCGACACCGACCTCAGAAGCAGTGGCTCCTCTTGAGCACGTGGTTGTGCACAGCGACACGACTGGAGATCAGCCAGCTTCCGAACCCGCAAGACCAGCTCCGGCACTTCTAGCACCACCGACTTCAGAAGAGCGCGGCCATCCTCATCGAGAAATCAGCGAGGAGACTGCAGTAGAGAGTAATGAGAACGTTGCCGGCAAGACCCCCTCACCGGCACCGAAAGCGCACAGCCCGGCGCACCTTGCACCGCCCACAGACGAACGAACACACCCACGTCGAGAAGCGAGCGACGATACTGCTGTGGAGCAGTCGGATAGTGCCAGAGCGTAAACGCTCCGACTCATGATTTGACGAGATCAAGAATATTGGGTTAATTAGGGATGCGAGGACATACCTTTTCGGGTTTTCTTACTATCTTAATGATACCTTATCAATGACAATGATGAATGATGGAAAGATAGGATTTTTGGCCGTCATGGACCGAACAGGTGTATGTATATAGCTGAGGAAGGTCATCTAGAACTGCGATACCCTTAACTCTACTCCGACCACAACCCGCGGGTATTCAAACCTACATGAGATTGTTGAATACTGTGATCATTGATGGAAATAAAAGGGGAGTTCAAAACTGTGAAGGCTCAATTTCATTCCATGCTCATAATGGGTTAAGTGGGGCAGCTGTCCGTCAGTTGGCACCAGTAGGTGCCAGGTATCCCATCCTCCTCGATAAGGAGTTGATAAGGGAAGGGTCCAGACTCCAGCAGATAGACAGACAGATCTCAGGCTGTTTGAAGTTAACAGCTGCATCTTGGCTGATCCAGGACGAGATTCTAGAACCAGACAGCCAGCCAGACCAGTGTCCCCCGAATTGGTACAACTTGGTATTCCGTAGCACCACTGCAACGAACTCCTCGGTAATTTCCTAGGGCCTGAATTGAAACTGAAGGTAGCTGCGAATTTCCCACCCTCGCCATCTATACGATCCAGTTACGAACGACGCTCAATGTAGACACGGTATGACTTCATTGCGATGGGTGCCAGCGACTCTAAGTTAGTCTTCAAGAAGGGCATCTTTCGATTGTCAGAAGAACGCCACATACCTGCCGATGACCCTTATTGGACTTCTGTCAGTACATCATTGTTGTTTACATACGGCCTTTCTTCGTAAACTGATGGTTCGCAGTTCTGGGAACTTCCCGAGTCCTCGGAGGACATATTTAGTCTCTTTGCGCCTGCAGATATCCGTCGAGCACGCGACAGGGCCATTGAAAACCTAGAGACTTTGATCCTCGCCTTGACATCTCGTCTGTTCATATTACGACACCATCCTTCCTTCCCCGATCCCGAATTCGCACCCGAACGCGATGCATTGAATTGCATTCGCATTCTAACTCGGGTTCTACCATATCT